AATAAATTATTGAGGGGGCGGAGTATGCGCTATCACGAGGAAAAAGGAGATGCTTAAAGTAGAAAGCTGCAAAAGAAGGGGAAAAAAAGCAAGTAATGAGCGAAGGAATCTTACCGTTGGGGAGTTGGTGTTTGAATGATTCAATTGGTGATTCTCATGAGCATGAAAATGAGATGTGTTTGTGGTGGTGGTGGTGGTGGTGGAAGTGGCTGATGAGGCCATCAGTTGCTCTTCATTGCCGATGCTTGCCCTTGACAAATCCCTTTTGTGTTGTTTCCTATTTTCCCTTATTTTTGAGAAATCAACCGAATAATCAGGCACCTCTCTCTTTTGCTCCCAATCTCCAAATTGTGGAACACTCAGCCATGGTGCCACTTTCTGCATCCAAATTTAAACCACTCAAAATCATACCTAACAACACCCATCCAATATCAAAACTATTGCACTTTGCTACAAGACAATCCAGAACCAAACAGCCAAAACAATGCCAAATCGATTTCCAACACGCCATAAATCTCCTTAATGGCGTTCTTCAACTTGTAGAAAATTTTACATTAAGGGGATATTCAATTTCATAGCTCAATTTAATAAGACTAAGAGTTTTAAGGTTAAATTCTGACACAATAGTGAAGTATGGAGGTAACTAGTTAGTGATATGTTTACGCGTTTTGGTACAGGCCCACTATCAATAATGTATCCCTCTAGTTTGTTATGAGTTTGATTTCATGTGATTGGACGGACTCTATTGCTTCGACTTGCCCCACTTTCTCTCTTCTCTGCGCCAAAATCGAGCAGTTCTTAGGATCAAAAGCTCAGGCAAACAAGCTTTTATTGCATTTTTGTATCCAGAAACTCCTTCCTATCCATTAAACATACTGAAATTGCTTTCAATAACTAATTATTCAAGTCTTAGGTGGACTCCAGAATTCGTCGATTTTGATGTGTGAGAGGGGCGTAACATCAGAAATGAATCAAACAAATCATGGAGAAACGGAAGGGGAAAGTTTACAGAGGAAAGATTCTGAGCACGAAGGGCACACAAATTTCGCTGGAGGAGAAAGTAATTGAAATTTGAAGTAGAGAAATCGGAAGCAGCAGAAACTGCAGAGCTTCACTAATGAATTTGGGGAAAATGTAACAATATTCAATATCGAGTCTTAGAAATTTGAATTAAAAACAGAGAACACAATAAACTTTGCCAAGAGTTCAATCATTCTATGGAAGCCGATGTTTTCGAACGGTACAAGATCAAGGAATATGCTCTGTTTCGTTTCCAAGAAAGTGCATCAAAATGAGTATATATAAAGAATCTCCAATGTGTTCTAAATAAATAAGAGCGGAGTGAACTGTGCAATTAAGTGACAATAAAATCCTTCTACTCATAAACTGAATTCATCAAATCCTCTAAGATTTTCTTAATCTGCGCACTCAAGAAGAAGGAGAAGAGATCAACATCATCGTCGTTCACATCCACAATCTTTTCGCGCAACAGAGAAACCAAAAATGAGTGAAATCATGAGCATGAGTTCAAGAATTACCTCCTTGCGATCCTCCATGAGATTGATCTCAAAACCTTGGGGAATTTGTTTGAATGATTGAAGAAAACAACCGAGAGAGAGAGAGAGAGAGAGCGGTAATCTAAAATGAAAACTGAGAGAGTAATGAACTGAAACACTCACCGAAAGCTGGATGGACCTACGTTCCGTACATTTGAGACAGATGACCAATATTTAATTTCAACAAAATGTTAACCACAAACAAAGAAAAACTATTATTTGTATGTTTGGTATTTAAAATTTTTTAAAAAATAAATAAATTAGGTGAATTCATAGTAAATAAAATAATATAGAACACAAAATGAAATAGGTATATCACGATGAAGTGGTACAATTGTTAAGGTCATAACATATAATACGAGAGGAAACGCGCGGGAAGGAGGGAATTATGCCAAAAAGGGGGAAACATTCATCTTCCTTAGAGCGTTGAGCCTTAGGTTGGTCTGACCTCGTGCTTGAGGATCTTGGAAGAGTTTTGGTGGGAGAACCACGATGAGTTTTTGAGCTGAATTGTGGTTTGGTTCGTATGTTGATTCAACCATATGTATCATCCTTTCTTAACGGTTTTGCCCAAATTCTCGTTTCTATATATTTGTGGGGAGAAGCTCTTCAACTTTTCTAGAGGGGAGACACCCTATGGAGAGATATCAAAGTATGATTCATGAGTTGTTTTTTTTTTTTTTTTTTTTTT